TTCATCTATAAGCACTTTTGCAGTAATTCTAATCGAATGCAACCGAGGCAGAACAACGCAGTCAATGTGTGCAGGTTCGTTGCCAGTTAGAAATCGTGTTCCAGCTGATGCGAGGTGTTGGTCGATTCGCTGTAGCGCATGAAGAAGAGCCTGGAAGCTGAGAAAGCAGACTAGTCAGTTTAAGCGGGCGCTGTATGCTAAGAGTACCGTGGGCTCCTTCTTGATATCTTTGATGTAAAAAGCGAAAACACGAAAAAGGTCAGCAGTGGCGTCCTCAGCTTCCGTTGCCTGCTCTCGGACTTTTCCATATTTGTCCAATTCCTCGATAATCTCATCCTCTACGGAAGTCGCAGTATCGTCGGTTATTTGTAATGCTGGCGATCGTCGAAGCCCCAACTGCAATTAAACCAAGCATTAAATCGTCTAATGGGTATTCAAGAGGGAAAATGAGCGATTAAACGCTGTGGTGGCTCGCTCAGTTGCAAACTAACAATCTGCTACGCACCTCTTTGAACTCAGGAGGAGGACGAGATTCGTTCACTGTTTTCACATCAAATTTGAGGTTGGAGTCATGCTCGGACTTCCAAACCATCAACATGAAGAGACTATGTGCGGCTGGATCCCCACCGCATCTGACACCATCGGATCCTGCTCGAAGCCAAAGCGTCAAACGAGACATTTTGCTAAAGGAATAGCCATTATTAAAAAGGATTGAGGGTTTAAACTCTTATGGAACAAAGAATGGCAGAGAAAAATTAGAGGAAGAATGAAATGTATAATGGGAACTTGATAATATCTTCAGAATGAAAATCCAGGAGGAGGACATGTGGTTGTTTTTTGGTTACCTAACCTAGAATTGTGAATACAACTGAAGGATTTTTTCAGAAGTGCTGGATTCTCACTGGGTTCAAAAGCAAGGCAAAAGGCATTGTCCAGCTTTTGTGTGAAAATAGCACGAGCCTCATTGGAACTTCCCCATTTGCTGTCCCTCCCATAGATAAGAGGTGGCAACCAAAACCAGTAAAACGCCTTTGCAACAACAAGTCGTTTGAATAAATGGTTGGGAGATGATTAAATTACTGGGTAGCAGACTAGAAAATGTGTTGGCCAGTTATGAATGTGTGCATCGTAAGTGTATGCCTGAACGGGGCTGAATCGTCTCATCTCCTTAGTTTTCTAATTACTAAAAGTAGACTAAAAGGCTTTAGCAGGAAAAC